CACACACACACACACACACACAAATAGAAATTAAATTAAAAACCTTGGGATGTAGCTCAGTACAAAGGCCCTACATTCAGCTCCCAACATTGGAAAAAAAAATTTGAAGGCAGTCAAAATGTAATTGACCTGGTAAATATTTGAAAACAATGAATTTTATAGTGAATGAAGAGATCAAATACAAACTCACTCTTAAGTCTTTTTTAAATTGAATAGCTTATATGAAATTGATAAATATTGCATATATGCCTCAATGATTATTTTCGTAGGCAGCCACTACACACAGGTCAAAATAAAGATGCCAGAATGCTTCCTTGTGCCCCATCTTAAACTGACTTCACCAAAACATGACCATTATTTAATTTCTAGCCTCATAAATTATTAATCTTGGATGATTTTTTGAATTAATCTGGAAGTAATCAATATTTTTGTTTTGTTCTATTGGTTTTTTGAGACAGGGTCTCGCTATATAATTTAGGCTGGCTGAGAACTACGTAGCTCTGGCTAACAACTCGTGGTACTGCCAGCTCAGCTCACTGGGTGTTGATATTACAGGTGTACACCAGCACTCCTGCCTGTGAATGTAATGTGAGGGAATGTGGCCTCACTGCAAGTATTCAATAACTCAATTTAAGTACTCCAACATGCTGAGAGCATCTTCATCTATAACAGTGTGGGCCTAATCTAATAACTTCCACACATAGGCATGGTAATTGCTTTCTTTTATTCATTCTTGGAATACATTAAGTGCTTACAATGGGACAAGTATTATGATAGTACTAAGAGGTGAACAAATAGTATGAACAGTCAATCTTAATGTCCTGTTTACATTAAGATCCCAATGTGTAAAGCGTTAGCAACTTCCACAATTTTTTTTCCAGGCAAGGTCTCTCTATGTAGCCCAGGCTGGCATTGAACTCATGGCAATCCTCCTGCCTCAGCCTCCCAAGTGCTTGGATTACAGGAGTGTGCCACAATGCCTGGCTCCCATAGTTTAATATATAGGCATTTTAAAAAGTAATTCACTTCTAACTGGTTATAGTTATGGTTAAATTGTTTACCTTTAGAAAAACACTAAGGAAATTTTCAAATACATAAAAATTCATAAAAGAATCACAAAACAAAGAAAAACTATGTATTCAAGACTCAGTTTGCTATCATTCTGCCAAACTTATTCACCTTCACATTCCTTTCACAAGAGCATTTTAAAGGACACTCCAGATGTCACATATCTTCTGTGTATGAATGCCAGAATTTATCTCTAACAAAGAGATTTTTCATATAACTACAGTGCTATTATCCATACCTAACAAAGTTTCTTAATATTACATAATGTTATCAATGTTCCCACTCCAATTGTTGTAAAAATGTCTTATTTTCAATGTTCCTTCAACTCATAATCTAATTAAGAACCACTCTTTCATGGCATTTGATTTGTAAGTCTCTTAATAGTTTCACCTTCCTTTTTACAATGTCATTTCATACTTTGAGAAATAATTTCATTCATCTTGTAGAATTACTTATATTTTAGGTTTGTCGTGTCATGTTATTTTGATTTCCATTTTTTAATTTTCTCTAAATGGGAGTTAGGTATTCAGGCTTAAATTCAGGTTCAATATCCTTAGCTATCTTCCCACTTCCTGAGGTTCAATATCCTGGCAAGATATGTATATTGTACTTTATTATATTATGAAGTTCATAATATTTTATGGCCCTAGTTTCATGAGATTGAGAGTGATTTGTGGGTTCAGTTGTCATTAGTCTGATCTACTTGCTAAAAGTTCAAGCTAATCTTTCACTCATAACCTTAATTTCTATGGATAATTGTTCCTGGATATATTATTATAAATTTTTTTCTAGTAGAGTTTTCTAATTGTATATTTTTCTGCATTCATTTGCTGGAATTCTCTATAAAAATCTTCACCTTCACATTATCAACTTCTGGTTGCCAGTAAATAGTTTATATAACAAACATAGGCAAAATGATCTTCCTTTTAAGTCACATTATGAATTCGCTGATGGTAAGTAAGGTGTGAATGCTGTCTAAATGCCTTCTTACACTCTTTACATTTGTAAGGCTTCTCACCAGAATGAATCCTCTGGTGTTGAATAAGTGATGAATGAAGTCTAAAGGCTTTTCCACATTCCTTACAATCATAGGGCTTCTCACCAGTATGAATGCTCTGGTGCTGAGTAAGTTGGGAGAGCAGTCTAAATGTCTTCTCACATTCTTTACATTTGTAGGGTTTCTCACCAAAATGAATGCTCTGATGTTGAGTAAGTTGTGAGAACAGCCTAAAGGCCTTTCCACATTCCTTACAGTCATAAGGTTTCTCTCCAATATGAATACCTTGATGGGAAATAAGTTCTGAGTAACGACGAAAAAATTTCTGACATTCCTTACACTCATATGGCTTCTCACCAGTGTGGATTCGCTGGTGGAGAGTTAGATGATACCCACGACTAAAGGTCTTCCCACATTCTTTACAATCATAGGGCTTCTCACCAGTATGGATTCTCTGATGGAGAGTAAGTTGCTGCCGTACTCTAAAGGCCTTTCCGCACTCCTTACAGTCATAGGGCTTCTCACCAGTATGAAGTTTGTGATGGACTCGAAGGCCTGTGCTGCACAAGAAAGCCTGACCACATTCCTTACACTCATAGCACTTTTCACCAATGTTAAGCCTCTGATGTCGAGTTAGGTGTGCATACTGTCTAAAGGTCTTGCCACACTCCTTACAGTCATAAGGTTTCTCACCAGTGTGAATCCTTTGGTGGAGATTAAGTTGCCCTCGCACTCGAAAGGCCTTCCCACATTCTTTGCATACATATGGCTTCTCACCAACATGAATTCTTTGATGTATGCGAAGATCTGAGCTGCATGTAAAAATCTTTCCACATTTTTTACACTCATAAAGTTTGTCAGATGTATGAATTCTTTGATGTCGACTAAGATGGGCACACTGTCGAAAGGTTTTTCCACATTCTTTACACTCATAAGGTTTCTCACCAGTATGGATTCGCTGATGGAAAGTAAGTTGTTGGCGCACTCTAAAAGCTTTCCCACAATCCATGCATTCATAGGGTTTTTCTCTATTCTGACTTTTCTGATATAAAGCAAGGGATGAGAGTTTTCTGTAAGTGAATATTTTTTCAGGGGTACTTTCTGTCACTTGCCTGAAGTATACCTTGTGGGGATGCTCTTGTCCCTCAAATATTTTATAATCACAATCTTTTCTGAAAAAAGAGTCTTTGAGCCCACAACTTTTGACTCTTTCCATTATTTCCCACTGAGATAAATTAATTTCATAAAAATCCTTTTCTTCAAATAGCTTTTTAGTGTCATACTTGGATTCCAAACCTGAAAGAAAACAAGATAAACATATAATTCTCCTATTCTAGACAAAATAAACAAAACCTTTATAATAAAAAACAAAAATAACAGAAAATAAAGTCCCGCTGACATAAATGGGCTAAAAATCTCAAACTAAATTATGTAACCTGGAAAAAAGCTAAAGGAAATGAAAGAAATAATAAGTGAAGATCAGATTGCTTTGATGAATATCATGGTTTGAGAATCCCTACTTAATTTTTTTTTCTTTTTTTTTATGTATTTGGTACAGGGTCTCACTATAGAGATCAGACTCGTAATGATCTTCCTGTTTTCAGCTTCCCCAGTGCTGGGATTACAGGCATGTGCCACCACGCCTGGACTTGGTCACCAGCTCAGCACACTCAGTGTAGCATGTGGTACCAGAGATCAAACCCTGATCCCTGCAATTGTCTGAGCAGGCACTTAGTCCACTAAACTATCTCACCAGTCCTCCTGCTTAAATTTTCTAATGATTTGTCTAATGGATCAAAATAAGTAGAAACCTTTTACCATTAATAACATGGCCTCTGTTTACCATAGGTATAATTTAAGCCATTGTCCCCTTTATTCCCTACTTTCTTATCACACTCACCTCTTTTCATTTCTTAGAATATGTCACAATCTTCATTTCTTAGAATTTTGCATTAGTGATATTATCTCCCAGGAATCTGGACATTTCATCAGTCAAATACCATCTTTAAAAAACCCTGCTGACTTCATCTAATTCATATTCATTAGTTTCTATCCCAGTCACTTGTCCTTTGCTTAGCAGTTTTCTCTTCTGCTATTACTAACAAATTTCCCCATTTATTATTATCTTTACTTTCTTGTCTTAAACTGCCACAAAGGAACAAATTTACTTACCAGAAAAAAAAATAAGTAGTATATAGTAACCAATATTCATTAAATTTTCATAATTAGTTAACAATTATTGAATAGAAGGGCCAGCCAGATAGCTCAGTGGATTAAAGCACCTGCTTAGGCAGATGCAGGGGCTAGGGGTTCAGTACCTGCCCTGCCATGTCAACCTTGCCCCCGGGGTGTGCTGAGATGGCAACTGAGATGGGACATGGTGGCATGCACCTGTAATCCCAGTGCTTGGGAGGGAGACGGGACATGGTGGCATGCACCTGTAATCCCAGTGCTTGGGAGGCAGAAAAACAGGAGGATCACTACAAGTCCAATCTGTGTAGTGAGACCCTGTACTAAATACTTAAAAAACAAAATTGAATATGATACCCTCATTCCAGTCTTAAACCTTATCACACTGATTACTCTTTTTTTTTTCAAGCATTCTCTCGAAAGATGGGAAGTAGCATGTGTATGTCATCTCAATGAAATATGTACATGGAAAATGGAGATTTCTTTGCACTTGACCATTCTTCCAGATGCTTCTCTATGTACCTGTGCAGATAATTCTATTGAAGCTCAACTTGTACTTTGTGTAACCACCATTAAACTTTGTTCTCTCTTCATATCCAGGTCATGTGATGCTTTACCAATTTATCTTGGCTTGAGATTAACTATACACACCTCTGCCACAAATATTTACCCTGTTTGTTCCTTCATCCCCTTCTCATTTCTTCCCTAAAGTCCTCATAGCCAACAATATCTTAAAGGTATTTAAGAGTATTTTCTAACAACAGGTTTATACCATAGTAAAAGACTAGTAAAATTCTAAGGAAAGTCATGGTTTTTCAAATGTATACTTTCTTAAAATTTTGCAACAGTTCAATACTTTTCAAAAAAAAAAAAGATATTTTTAAAAGTCTATAATGTAACATTATTTGTAAATGCCCAAACTAGAAATAATGTGAGCAAAGACAGGTAAATGAATGGTACAGAAAATACTGCTATGAAATCTAAGGGTATTTATCTCTAGGTCTGCCTCCTCACTCAAGCAAGTTTTTTTGTTTGTTTGTTTGGTTTTGTTTTGTGCAGAACCAGGGATTGAACTCAGGCTCGCTTATTCTACTGAGCCATCTCCCTGGCACAAGCAAGTAATTTAAAAAATTTAGCAATTTTGTAAAATTTTTGGGAGAGAGTTCCGTTAAACCTTAATAGGAAGGTAGGATATAAGTGATATCATTTGCTAAACAACAGCAGTAAATAAGTAAGCAGCTATAAAAAGTATAACCATTAAGAATTAAGATGATGGAAGAGCAAAGCAACTCCACCAAAAAAAAAGAAAAAGAAAATTAAGATAGTAACTGCAGGATTTACTTGCAAGCTAAAAATTAATCATCTAAATAAATGGATAGTCAAAATCATAATTAAAACACCAAAATATGTGTAAAAAAAATCAAGAAATATGTTAACAGCATAAAAGCCCATACAAATTGAGATAAGAAACATCAAACATTAGGAAATTAATGAAATAAACAAAGTGAGTAGATAGGGTCGAAAATAAATAGAAGCATAAATCACTGTAGGAAAAAAAAATCTATATTTACTGATAAATCAGAATTACAAAATGTATTCACCTATTCAATCTGAAGGTTTTCACTTTAAAACATATCCCAGTGTTACCACAAGAAAGCTGAGACTAAATAGATGCTCATAGTGATGGCAGACCTTTCAGGGGCTGGGTGCCCAACTGTAGCCCCAAGGCTCCTTATTTATCACAAAATGCAACACTACAATTAAACCTGAACACTAAGGTTTTAGTCTAGAAAAAAACAATTTGTACATCAACATTTTTTGTCTTAAAAACACAGTAACACATGTGTCGTAGGTTTCCCACCACTGCTGTATAGCATATACAGCTGAATTGAGACAATCAATCAAATGTGACTCCAAATTTGATGGTGCCAGTTCACATTCCTGTGAGCACTACAATTATTTACACTTAATGACAACCTTTTCTATGACAAATATGTTGAATGTTTTGGAAGTACTGTTATAAAAGCACATTGCGGGCTGGGGTTCAGTGGTATAAGCACCCATCTAGCAAGCACAAGGTCCTGAGTTCGATCCCTGGTACCAAAAAAAAAGGCACACTGAATTGTTATCAAGATGGGTATGGCTGAAAAATAGTAAAAGACAGAAAACAGACATTCAAGAAGGATTCCTCATTTACATAGCTTCATGAATATCTTCTTTTTTTCTTTTTTTTCAGTACCGGGGGTTGAACTCAGAACCCTGTGCTTGTCAGGCAAATGAATATCTTTATTTCTTGCTCTAAGTCAAAAAAGCTTAAATTAGAAAGGATAACATATACATTATATATGTTTTAATAAAGATAAAATGGCCTGTATTTACACTAAAACAAAAAGTCCTGACAAACAAAAATTAACTCATGGTAGTAAACTTTACTTTTCTACCTACTATAGCACATATATAATCTAAATAGTTTAGATTCTAACGAATCAAAGAGTTTTATTCTAGTTATATTGCTAATGTAAAAGACATATTAACTAACCCACCTTAGGTCAGCATAAAAGAAGTTGTTTCTACTTATTTCTACTTTTTAAGTTTTTTTTAAAAAGAACAAACTATCTGGTCATAAAATGGTCTTACTGAGGTATAGTACTTCCTAAAGGAGAAAGTCATTCACTATACTTTTTTCTGATATATGATGATATGAAGCACTCTCCTGGGGCAGGGGACCACAGTTCAAGTCAACTTAGTAAGACTCTGTGTGAAACAAAAGGTGGGGTAGAGAAACAGTTCAGCGTGAAGGCCCTAGATTCTACACCCAGTATCTAAAAAAAAAAAAAAAAGATAATGGATAAACAATTCAGTATGTGACACTGGCAATTCTAATGACATTAAAACCAGGGATCATGTGTTAGTGTATCAAGAGACTTGAAGCTGGGCGCAGTGGAAAGTTTAAGCTCAGCCTGGGTAACTTAGTGGTTAGCGAAAACTATTCTCAAATTTAAAAAGGGTTGGGGGTATTTGGGTTAAATCTCCAGTAGGAGAATCCAAGAGACAGAAAGGCAGACAGACAGACACAAAGAGACAGACAGAGATAAAGACAAAAGAGACACAGAGAGAAAGACAGAGAAAAAGAGACAAAGACAGAGAAACAGAGTGTAACAGAAAATGCCCCCCTGGCCAATACACTTAAGTTTCTTTGTTGCCCAGTTAATAGCTCCTGTTGTAGTTCCAGTTGCTTCTGTTTCTTAGAAACAGCTGGTCACTGTGATGCACATTGTAAGAACCAATCGAAAACAGCCAAGTACTGCCTTTGTACTCCCTTGCAGACCTCATAAAAACCTCCTTCCTTGAGTCTTCTAGGTCTAACCTTCTGAATAACATTTGAGTCCTAGTCAGTGCCAATCTGAATAAATCTGCCTCCAAATCATTAAACACATGTGTTTTGTGTAAATAAATGTTTATAATTTTATATGGAACACAGAATAAGCCTTAGAGCTTCCAATTATATACTTTTTACTTTTATAGATTTTAAAACTATGATCCTTTATATATCTATTTTTGGGGGAACTATAAGTTTTATGGCAAACAATTAGTATTGTTAACTTTTTATGGTCATCAAAAGTACACAAAAGCCTTATTAATGCCTTTACTCTTCCACTTCCATTAACTCTGGTATACACCAAAAACAAGTCTTTACTTTTCTTGTTTTATTATTATAAAAATAATAAAAGTATTTTGCTAGTACAAAAAAAAATGGTGGTTCCAGTCGATGTTCCCTTTTCTGTAATCAACTGTTGTACAACTAACTGTCTGCAGAACAGACTTATGCATCTACT